AGCAGAAACTCAAATATCCATCAATGAAAAAAATGAATAAGCAAAATGTATCATAGACACACGTTAGAATATTAATTAGCTTTAAAAAGAAATTCTGCCCCATGCTACATGACTGAACCTTGAAGATATTATGGTAAATTATGCAATCTACAGTCATGCATTCATAGGATTTCAATGCCTGACTGAATCATATAGTACAGTGTTCCTCTCATAAGATTGTTTTTTTTTTTTAGAGGATTCTGCTCTGTAGTCCAGGCTAGTCTTGCACTCACTATGTAGCCCAGGCTGACCTTGAATTCAGGGCAATCCTCCTGCCTCAGTTTCTCAAGTGCAGACATGTGCCACCACACCCGGCCCTAACCTTATAATGGGGGTGAAGAATTCCTAGCTTGCATTTTTACGTTTCCACATTTAGACACACAAATACTTATAATTGCGTTAGAACTGCCTGGTCCTATGGTATCAGCATAGTAACATGCCATACAGGGTTGCAGCCTAGGAACAACAGGTTTAGCATGCAGCCTGTAAACCTATACTGCTTAGGTTTATGTTAAATACATCTAGGAAATTGTCCCTGTTGTAAGCCATCACATGACAGTAGTCACAAAACTGGTACATTACAGAAAAATACTTTTTAAAAGGATGACTATTTTGGTGAAGTATTTCCCAGCCAATTTAAAGTTCTCTAAGAATTAAGAATAATAAATAAGAAGGGCCAGGATTTAGCTCAGTGGCACCTTGCCTGCCTCACAAACACAAGGTCCTGAGTTTGATTCCCAGTACCAAAAAAGAAATACGCATAAGAAACTATCATTTCTCAGGGTCTGATGATGGGTGCCTTTCTCTTTGCGGGGGCAGGGGGGCGCACAGGTACGGGGATTAAATTTGGGTACTTGTGCTTGTGAGGAAGGCAGTGGAACCACTGAGCCAATCCTCAACCCGGTGCTTTTCTTTTTCATAAAATCCTTGCTGCTCCTATTCTACCTGGAAAAAAGAGATGCTTTGCTCTCAGAATTGGTATGGGAGCAAACTGGCAGGCACACACCCAAAGTACTCCCAATCAGCCAAACTGAACAGCCCTTCACTCTTGAAAGGGTTACTGGTAACTTATTTCCTGCCACTGAACTGGCAGATCCTGATTCTGCAGAGGTAAAATGTGGCAGTAAGGCACTGAGACTTGCATGAAGGAACAAGTGCAAGAAATCGGCCTAGCAAGCCCTCGGTCTGGTATCAGGTAGTTCCCCTCACCCACCCACACACAAGAAGGGAAAACATCATCCCTAAAAACAAACATGTTATTATGCTAACCATAAAAATTTCAAACTATAGTCTAATCTCAAATTGTTCCACTGTCTTAAAACAGTAAGCTTTAAGTAATCAGAGCACCAATGTAATAAAATTCCAATGGAAGACAATTCAGGTTAAGATCTGAAGGATTTCATGGGCAAACCTTCACACCTATGCCACCAGTCTTAGTCTTGCATAAGAGCTTTTAAGAAAGTGATTAGATGCTACCAAGATTTTTAAAAAATCAAAGGTTATGATGACTGAATGCACAGAAGAGAAATCTGGTAGCCACTAAAGCCAAGTTCAAATTAGGCTGTTTAGTCTCTTGAACAAAATTAGATCAAACACAGGCCAACTTCTAATGGTCAGAGAAATATTAAATATAACCATATCAAAAACATAGTAGTACTTTATCAAAGAAACACTAAGCAAGGATGAAAGGAAAATGTCTGTCAATTTATCAAAATGCTACAAAAGCAGGGCTGGTGATTTAGCTCAGTGGTGCCATGCCTGCCTCGAAAGTGCAAGGTCCTGAGTTCAATCCCTGGTACTGGGAGGGAAAAAATGCTAGAGAAGGCCAATAAAATGGTAAGGTTTTGTATGAGAAATGTCTTTTAAACAACATTATATAGAGTTAAGTGTTCATATCAATACCTTTGCAATGTTTGATCTTTTTAAAAATAGTAATCATTGCTGGGTATGTTGACACACACCTCTAATTCTAGCACGCGGGAGGCTGAGGCAAGAAGAGACTGTGACTTTAGGGCCAGCCTACTGCATAGTGAGACCCTGTCTCAAAAAAAAAAATAGTAACTGTTATACAATAAACATACATAAATGTATATTTTACAAAAAAACTCCCCAACTGTTTTCCAGAGTGGTGATGTCACTTTACATTCCCATCAGCAGTGTACAAGGTTCCAGGGGCTTGGCGTTCTTGCTAGCACTGTACTTGGTATTGTTCAGTCTATTTCATTTCACCCATTCTAATGCACATGCAGTGTTACCTCACTGGGCTTTAATTTTTCACCATTTGGGGGGGGGTATCTTTTAAAATAGCAGTATATACTGTCTCACTCCCTTAAACAGACAATACTAAAAGATAAATTATTCTGACTCAAAAGTCCTTATAGAATAAACATTGTACTACCCTCCAGGACTACTGAAGTACATAGGGTTGTTTTTCTTTTTCTAAAATAGCTCCAGAATTATGTCTGCTTTTTAGAGCTTTTTAAATCTTCCCCCTTGTCACTTCTTGCTTAATGGTGCTCCTGCTTCTGGCAGACCTACCTGTTCACCCTCTTTCTCAAACTGAGTTGAGAAAATGGATAACTACATTTATTAGAATTACATCTAAAAGGGAGGGCAGTCTGTGAGTGAGAGAGCTTAATGGGTTCTTCAGCAAGGGAAGAGCTATTTTTTCCTACGTTGTACCTAAACTTCTTGACATCTGGCTTGGTGGCTGAGAATTTCTAGTAACTTAATTTCCTAGGTGAGGCTGACAGGTAAGGGACCACCAGGAAAGGAGTCATTACAATATTAGCCTGTGCAACTAGCATTGTACTATAATTCTACAGCAGAAATTAAAAACGTATCTAAACTCAATATAGACAAAATGAGCTTTGTATCCAGAGATGCAAGTAGAATAGGTTATTAAAATATGATTTAAGTCTTGATTCCAAAAACACATTGGTCAAAACTCTGAGCACCTGCTAGGTATGTGAGATATTCAAGAGTGCAAAGATAAAAAAGATTTTACAATTAAAAAACAAGACATTTCTTTCAAAACATACAACCATACAGATAGATAAACTGATTCTAATCCAAAGTAATATTTACAGTATTCCTTGGAAAGTCACTTGACTAGCCTGTGCAGTTACCAAAAAAGCAAGTAAGTACAGCTCACCCTTATCTCATAATCATTAAACTAGTCCATTAGAGTTCCCCATCTCTGAACAGGATAAAACTGTGAGAATACTTTTACGGTTTCTATTGGAAGGGATCAAATCCCAGAAATGGCATCTCTTTCCTTTCCTGAAAGCCTCAGGCTCAAAACGTGAGCGGCACACTTTGCCTCTCAGCCGAACTTCCCTGAGGAAAGGCACAACGAGTATCTGCCAGGCTCTCGGGCCAATCACCACTCCTCCAGCAGCCTCTACCCACATACTTAAAACCATTTCACCAATTGCAACAGGATCCTGGGTGGGACTTCCGCTATCATTTTAGGCTTAACTACCACCATCTCATCACAGGCAGTGGGGGCAATCAGGAAGACGGAGCGTTTCACAAACTTTGAATTCAAGCACAGTTTCCAGAAAAATAAAACAAGCTGGAAAAGAGAGAAAGTCCTTTAAAAAAAAAATACTTCCCCCCAAAAAACTGTGTTAAGGAAAATGCAGCAATTAAAACTTGTGTTTATCTTTCCAGTCAATGCCTGGGCCCTGAAGTTCTCCTACAACCAGTTTTGGCAGAGGAGCCCTCTGCTAAAGAGACAGCACAAGCTGACAACGTAGAACTCTTATTACCCACCCACCAGGGCACTGCTGAAGGTCACTGAACACTGTGCACTAGAGAAATAGACCCTGCAAGTTTATGGCCTGTGTTGCTTGGCCCCAAAATTTTTATTCCCCAATTTGAACTATTTCTTTCGCATCAGATATAAAAGAAATGAAGTTCTTTTAAAAGACTCTAAATCACAAAACTGACAAAATCCTCTCCTGTCAAATTTACAATTCCTTGAAATCTAACACATATACACAAAACCAGACAATTTCTCTGAAATCTCATCTTCAAAAGCACAAGGTTCTGCGATCTGAATCAGAGCAGAATGCAAAAATCTCCTACACAAACTTCTACAGCTATGGAGTAAATTCTACTTCCAGCTTGCTTTACCCCATGGGCTCGGCGATTCCCCCTCTTTCACTATTTATTTTACAGGCCTCCAAGGTAAACCTGTTGCTGAGAAAGATCACACTAATTCGGAAAATGAGCTTATTGGAAAGGTGAAAGCAAATAGGTAACCTGCCCACCTCCAAAAGAGTAATAGGAAAGATATTGGAGATGGTGGCACTGTCAATCCGAGTTGTTGTGTGGGGCTCCCCACCAACCCTCGAGGGTCCTCACATGTCTGCGAGGCCTAAGCAGGCCAGACGGGCGGACTTGAACACTGTGCGGCCTGAACCACTAGAAATCCATCTCGCGTTCGTCGGGCCAGCTTCGGGCCCGCACTAGAGACCCGTGTTCCACAGCCCAGCGACAAGCTGCTCCCCGGTGGAAGGGCTCCCAGAGCTAGGTGGCCTGGTCCCGGCCATTGCACAGGCAGGACCACTCGGGGCCTACCCTCGACTCACGTCGGGTCTCCGACCCCGGCTCAGCCCTGACCCGAGCCGTAAGGACCCCAGGCTCAGCCCTTACCCCGGGCACGAAGCACCCAAGGCCCAGCCCTTATCCCGGGCACGAGGAGCCCCAAGCACAGCCTTGATCCTGAGCACGAGGTACCCAGGCCCAGCCTTGACTCCTGCCTGTCGGATCCCGGGTCCGGCCCTGAGTCTTGGCCGAAAGGACCCCGACACGTGGGACCCCAGACTCCCGAGGTGCCCTGACACGAGGGACAGCGGACCCAGCCCTGACCCCGGCACGAGGCACGGGAGCCTTGGCGGAGGGACCTCTGGACTCCCTGGACCCTGGCCCGCCCGGGTCGCCCCCAGCCGCACCTTGACGTGGAAGCGGATGAGCGCCAGGCGGATGCAGTGGGCCATGCAGACCGGGGGCAGGAACCAGACCTTGGGCGGCGGCGTGCCCTTGTTCTGGACATGGCTGACGATCTGCTGCGCCGTCTGGCGCTCGTTTCCCTGCCGCTTGACCCACTCGTGCAGCCGGGCCTTTTCGAGCGCGCCGTTAAAGAAGACGAAAAGCTCGATGTTGCCGCCGAAGCAGGCCTTGGCGAGGGCCGCCAGGTAGCCGAGCATGTGGTTCCACTGGCCACCGCTAACCCAGTCGGTGT